ATCTTTAAAGAGAAAAAATTGACAAAAATATTTACAACGATAGATGCAACTGTCAACCTGGCAGGTATTGCCGCTATGCCAGCAAAATTTTTGAAATATTACTAATATCATCTAAATTTTTTTTATTATTTAAATCTAAATACAAATATTCAATCTTTTTTTTATTAATATATCATATTTTACTTTATAAACATAAACGTCTTTTCAAATTCTAAATTTTTTTACTTTTTTAACATAAACGTCTCCAATTGAAAAATTTTGCATCCCTGGTGTGAATGCAGAAAATGAGATATTAAAAAATGACAGATTTTCACCATCGCGTATCTAAAGCAAAGTATTGCCTCGTTACATATGCAAATATTGATTGCAATCAACATTCAATTTCAAAAAATATAAATAAACAAAAATATATTAACATGAAATAACTTATATTTCATTATATATATATGAACAAAGTATAAAATTACTATAACCAATATGCACATGATCTTCAACAATATTTCCACCATAGTAGATAAATGTATTTATTTGATTCGTCATTATGATCGAAAAAAAAGATAAATAAAATTTCAAAACAAGTGAAGATAGAACAAATAACGGATGAACTTCATATTTGATATGAAAACTCATACAAGAACCATGATATATACGTAGATTTTTTTTTTTTTTTTTTTTTGACAAAAACCAAGTGACAATATTTGCTAAATCAACAAAAATCACTACACGAAGCGGCGTTTTTCACCGAAATGGCAGCAATGGGCAGCTTGCCAATCTAGCTATTTTTGCCAAACATATAGCGACAACTAACGTGGTGGTGTTGTTGACTCCACGCGGGCAAAAATAGTCATAGGCAAGATGGAATTTCACTGGAGCTTGGGGGATAATTTTTTATGATTTTTATAATTTTTTTAGTATTAAAAATATTAATTTTTATGTATTTATATACAATTTGTCTCTCCAAAATTATCCTAATTCATATATAATTCTCTCATTATTTTTTATTTAAATTTATTAATTAAATATTAAATAAATTATAATATTTTGCTCATCTCCAAAATTTAGATGTTAGGATTATAAAATATAACAACTTTTGCTAACGTGGTAAAGACAACTACAATCACTGTGTCAATTTGTTATTTTCATTATAATTTTTTTGCTGGGACATGATGATTTACATTTCTTTTGTAATTTATTAGCATTATTTATATATTTATTATTAAAATTAATAATATTTATATTTTCATTGTTTCATCAAATTATATTATTTCTTTTTTATTCTATTCAATTATATTATTTTCTATAAAAGATTATAATTAATAAATTTAATAGTAATATTTAAATATTAACTAATTAAAATTAATTTATTTAGAGTGTATTTGTTTATTTGTTTTAGTTTGAAATATTTTTTATGTTAGGTATGTGAATGTGTGTTGGTAAAAGAAATAATAATATTTGGTGTTTGATTATTGATTTTTTATAAGGGTGTAAAATAGATATTATCTATCATGTGAATGAGTGTTATATTGTATTTTTTTATAATATTAATTGTGAAATATATTGAAAGTTTTTTTATTGGGTGAACATATTTAGATTTTTTTAACTCATAATTATTTCAATTATTTATTTTTAATTAGATGTAAATAATATTGAATTGTCGAAATACCAAACATATCATACTGAAAAATATCAAAAATCTCAAAATTTTGGTATACTAAAAATTTCAAAACGGTATGATATTATACCGAATTTTTTTTGATACGATATTAGTATATAATTTGACATTATCACAATATATATATCAAAATATTAATATGCCATATTATATATCAAAATTATTGTGATATATAACAAAAATACCATATATATCGTATTGATGTTTTAGTATTTGATATATCAATATATATCGATATGCCTATATATCTAGTATATCGAATTATTAGTACGATGTATATATTTGTCACTGAACTTTTAGTATACTGATTTTTTGGTACGATATCGGTATATTTTTAACATAACGAACTTTTGGAACGGTATACAATATGACTTCGATATGTCATTCCGAACCATTCCTATTTTTTGTTATATTTAATTAGAATGATTGTAAATGAGTATGATTCGAAAATCTAGCTCAAACAAAATATGAAAATCAGACTCAAGTGGGGCTAGCTCGAACTGAATTTTTTAAAAAATAAAAATAAAAAGAAAGTTTTAAACAATATATTTCATGATTAATAAATACTAACAATGTATTTGATTGAGAGTTTGGATGTTGGATTTGAATTTCGGATAATATTTTTTTAAAAAATTTAAATAATTATTTGATATAATATAAATAAATATTAATTTCCTAAATATAAAATTGTTTTTATAGTATAAAAATAAAAATTAAGTTTAATTTGATATTATTAAAAAGAAAAATTTGATGAATTATGAAAATTTTGAAAAAAAATCAAACCAAATACAAAATCTTTAATTTATATTATAAATAATTTTAATAATAATTTATTACAATTTTTTAAAAAAATTATTTATAGTATTGTTACGAATATCTACTCTATATCTAAATTAAAATTATTTTATATCTATTTTATATATAAAATATTAAATGATAAAATATATCACTAAATTATAACTATCATATCAAATAAATTTAAAATAGTTAACTCTTTAATATATATTTTAATAATGATGCTAAAAAAAAAAATTTTGCATAATTATGGAGGATAATTGAGCCCCATTTGCTTGTACAGGTAGGGAAGATGCAAATTACACGCAAGAATATGTTTGAATCTATACGAGGAATACTCTTTTAATCCCAAAGAATATTCAAATACTTTTTCAGGGAATTTTTTTACTCCCTCCGCCCAATACAATAGTCTTATTTATCATTTTTGTTTATTTTAAAACAATAGTCTTATTTTCATAAATAATAATATCATCGTAAAGCTATCCATACTTTTTTTATTTTTATTACACAATTGTCACTACTTTTTCACTAATATACTCACAAGGGCAAAAAAAAGTTTTTTTATCCATACCGTTTACCGATTACCAGTATAATATTAATATTTCTTAAATCCCGTACCAACTCAATAAGACTATAGTTCTGGGACGGAGGGAGTATTTATTAGTATTATATTAGTATATAGTAAAAATAAAATTAAAACGATACAAACAACTTTATTAATATTGTATGATATAAAAGATTATAAGTTGTAAGTGTATTTTTAATATCAAGTAGATTGTACATTTATAAAAAAAATATATATATTTTGATATGTGACGGATCAAAATTAAAAAATGAATATTTGGTTAAGAGACAGATAAAGTACAATTCTATCATTTTTTTAATAAAAAAAAAAGATTAAATTGTACAAAATCCACCAGTGATTTCACAAAATTGAGCAAAACCTCCTGTACTTTCAAGACTGCGTCGAACTCCCTCGTGATTTCATAAATTTTGCATCTAATTCCATTGACCATTCATATTTAACGGTATTTGATCTACATGTACTCAAATTGCAAATAAATTTTATAATACTAATATCTAAACTCTTAAAATTATAAATATATTCATTTTCCCAAATAACATTTAAAAAACTTTTAAAACTAGATAAAACAACTATTTCTAGGTATATTTATTTTTTTAGATTAAATAATAAAAATAAGGATAATATTTACAATTTTAAGGGTTTAGAAATAAATATTTCATTTTGAGAACGTGAGTTATACAAATTTAAATAATAACGACCTATGAGTTAGACCAAATTACGAGACAGTTTCATACAGTTTTGAAAGTATGAAGAATTTTGTACAATTTCGTGAAACTACCTATGAATTTTGTGTAATTTAGTATAAAAATAATAATGTAATAATCAAGTAAAAATATTTATATGGAATGTAAGAAGTGATTTGACTAAAATTTTGAATGCACGGAATAAGAAGGTGTTTGAGAAACAACTTTTTGAAAAGCTTTTAGCTTATTGAACAGTTTTTAGGTGTTTGACCAATAAATTTTTTTTTAGTGTTTGGTAAATTAGCTTTTTGAAAGAATTTTTTGGATTAAAAAATTAATTTTTGAAAAACTTATAAACAGTTTTTAATTTTAATTTTGGTTATTCTTCATTTACCCTTAAAACTTAATTATTTATTTTATACATATAAATACATTTTTATAGCAGTATTTATTAATTATTTTAATATATTTAATTTATTAAATTATATTTTTATTTTTGTAAATTTAAAATAATTACTATTATTAATTATTACATATATTTTATACATAAAAATATATTTTTATAGCAGTATTTATTAATTATTTTTAATATATTTAATTTATTAAATTATATTTTTATTTTTACAAATTTAAAATAATTACTATTATTAATGATTACATATAAATTATTTTATTTGTAAAATATATAAATTTTTAAAACTAAATCGAAAAAAAAACAAAGGTTATTAATTTATTTATATATATTAAAACAATAATTAACATAATAAAAATAAATATACTAAATATTATTATTTTATATTTTACATAATTTCGATAAAAAATTATTATTTTTTAGTAAAAATAATTTTCTCAAATCTAAATAATAAAAATAAAAATAAAATTTTTATAATATTTTATAATTTTCTATAATTAATAACTAAATTTCTCATAAATTTCAAACCAAAATGAATAAAATTAAATATTTTAAAAAATAATATATCAATGTATTTAATAGTCTATTACGTATAAACCATCTAATATCAAACAGTTTATTTTATCAAATATTTTAATACAAACCACTTATTAAATCAACTAACAACTAGCTAATTGAATCGGCTAATCTATCAGCTACTTGTCAAAGCACACGAGTAATAAAAATAGAAGTGGTCTTTACTTTGGGAAGATGAAAACTACAGGCGCGTGCGAGCACGCAAGCCGTACTCGTTCTTCGTACGGGTTGATTTGAGTCGGGCTCGGGCTCGTCATTAAATCGGAATGCTAACAAGTAACCCCGCTCGATTCGATCCGCATTACCACTGAAGTGGTGTTGTGTTGTGTTTCTATCTGTGATCGATCTCGGGAAAATGGAGGGGGAGGCCCTCGTGCCAAACCAGAGCATCGGCGACGGCGGCCGGAGCTCGTTGACGGAGTGCGCTGCCGACCTCAATCGGGTCAACTGGATTGCTCTCCCGATGATAGTCGTGACCGTTTCTCAGTACCTGCTGCGCGTCTCCCCCATGTTTATGCTCGGCCATTTGGATGAGCTGTCGTTGTCCAGCGCCTCCATCGCAACCTCCATTTGCAATGTCACAGGATTCAGCGTTGTGGTAAGTAAGTAAGGATTTCTCGATTGATTGTAGGGAAAGCTGGTTAATCGATTCGATTTGCAGTTCGGAATGGCGAGTGCGTTGGAAACCCTATGTGGCCAGGCTTACGGAGCGGCGCAGTATAAGAAATTGGGGATATTCACCTATGGTGCGATTCTATGCCTCTTCGTGGTGTGCGTACCTTTGTCTCTTCTCTTCTTCTTTACGGAGAAGCTGCTGGTATGGACGGGGCAGGATCCTGAAATCTCCGCCGGCGCCGGAGAGTTCGCGATTCAGCTGATTCCGTCGTTGTTCCCTTTCGCTGTTCTACAGTGCTTAGTTCGTTACTTGCAGAGCCAGAGTCTGGTCCTTCCAATGGTTTGGAGCTCATTAGCTTCTCTAACCGTTCAGTTGCTTCTCTGTTGGATATTTGTATTCAAGCTGAATCTGCGGAGCAGAGGAGCTGCAATGTCGATTGCAGTCTCCGATTGGTTCAACGTAGTCGTGCTGCTGTTCTACATGAAGTATTCCCCGGCCTGCAGGAAAACTCGAGCTTCCTTCTCGCCGGACATTTTATCATCTTCCAAGGAATTCTTGGGCCTGGCTATTCCATCTGCAGCCATGGTTTGGTATATACATAATCGATAGCTTTCATAGCTTTAAAAACCTCCGCAGATTGCACTGATATGGAATGAATTGTGATGCAATTTCTTCGTCGTCGTCTTAACTTTTTGCAGCGTCGAGTGGTGGTCATTTGAGATTATCTTACTGCTTTCAGGAATGTTGCCGAATCCACAACTGGAGACATCAGTTTTCTCCATATGGTATTCATCCCTGATCTCTCGACTTTTTTAGCGCATTCGATTGATATTTCCATGCCGGAATCTAACACTTCTTCTTCCCCATGTCTGCAGCTATACCATTACTTATCTGCACTACCACATTCCCTATTCTTATGGCGCCGCAGCAAGGTCTATTCGACTATTCCTGATCCACATTGTAGCCTACATTACCACTTTCATACAGTTCTCAGTACTAATAACACAACAATCTGTTCGTATGATCGTATCTACAGCACGCTTATGTCAAACGCATTTGGGGCAGGGAACCCTAGAGCCGCCAAAGTTACCCTCTACGTGGTTTTAGCGCTATCGATTGCAGAGTTCTTATTAGCCAGCATTTCAATAATGGCCTCAGGTCACATACTGGGATATGCATTTAGCGAGTCGAAAGAAGTAGTCAGCCGCATCGAACAAATGGCTCCTTTCCTCGGCCTCTCTATCATCATGGATAGCTTGCAGGCTGTGCTCTCAGGTAAATTAACGAAATAGATTGTTCTGATCGAACTGGTCAACAAATTTTTGTCTTTATTCTCAATTTTCGCAACAACCCATCTTATAATATCATGGTTTTGCATTCAGGCGTGGCCCGGGGCTGCGGCTGGCAGCACATAGGGGCTTATGTGAACCTGGGATCGTACTATCTGGTCGGCATGCCGGCGGCATTACTGCTGGCGTTCGTTTTGCACCTCAAAGGGCGAGGCCTGTGGAGCGGATTGCTAGCCGGCGCAACGGTCCAATGCATTGCCTTGTCGGCGGTCACCGGAATCACAAACTGGGAAAAACAGGTATCAATATCTCCATAGTTGCATGAAACTTATCTCTTGAATAATACATTAAGGGTATTTTTACTTTGTATAATTAGGGTGAATAATATGATTTTATCGTATAGTTAGAGTATTTTAAAAAAAATTACTCAGCCCCGTCGAACTCCAAAGCGGCCCTAGTGTAAGTGTGTTAGAGATTTTGACATTTATGTCGTTTGACTTTATATATAAAGTAATTATATATGTAATAGTATATTTATAATTTAGGTAAAAATTAAAATATATTTTAGTATTATGTGCGATATTTTGAATCGGGACATATTGTATTTTGAGTTGGGAACGGAGAAAGTATAATTTTATACTATAGTCTATTAAAATAAATGCCGAATTATTTTATTATATGATTATATAATTCTTTATAATAATAGTATGTTTCCTATAGGCATTGGAAGCACGGCACAGGATCTTCTCGGGAACTCCTCCGGCTTGCCAACCCCAACGCTTGGTAGAGATTACTTAAAATTTATTGCATAATTATTTCTAACTGCGATAATTAAAATAATTTATAAAATCTTTATATTAGTATATTTGTATGAATAAATATTTTGTATCTGTTTTTTTTGCTTGTTACAAAATTGAATCATGCAATAAGGATATCATGCTGGGATTATAAATTCAGCATTACTAAATTTAATTACCAACCTTTTGATTTATATTATCAATTTAATTAAAATTATTAAATATGAAGTCGGCTGGAGCTGCCCTCCATGTCTACTTACCAAATCGTTCCGTTCCACAAAAGAAATAGAAAACAATTAAAGTGGGTGTATTTATTCGAAATTTCATTGGATTTTTTTGGATTTTAAAAAAATTATATGTGGATTTAAAAAGTCAACGTACTTTATATATTTTATTAATTAATTTAGATGAATTCTTATAGATTTCATTGGATTTCTTTTATTGATTTATATGGATTTTGTGAAATTGTAAAATAATTTTTTTTTATTGATTTATATAATTGTATGAACTTATGTAAATACAAATTTTACAAGTTATTATATATTATTATATTTTATAGAATATAAATAATATTAATAAATAATATATAATTATTAATGATATAGAAATATTGTAAGATATATAATGCTACTATTTTGTATATTATATTTTTAATTTTATACTCCCTCCGTCCCACATAATTTGTCCATATTTTTTATTTTCGTCTGTCCCACATGACTTGTCCTTTCTATTTTTGAAAATATAATTATGCACTTTAATCGCATTTTAAATTTTATAATTTTCTTAATTTTAATTAAACTATTTACTTATCTTAATCTTAATTTATAATTATTTTTACTAAATAATAATTATTTTTACTAATACACTTCTTAATTACTTACTAATTATACTCTACCTAAATTCTCGTGTCTGCAGTAATACACCCATATTACATGGGACGGAGGGAGTAATTTTTATTATATTATCATTCAATATATCAATTTATTTTTATATTTTTTATTAGTTATTATTATTATTCTTATGTAATAAATTTTGTAAAAGATAAATAGATAGATTAAAAGATTAATATATCACATGCATTCATTATTTTTATATTAAATGCACAATTTTTTATACTTTAAAAAAATATCACTTCAAAATTCACAAAACAATCACACCAAAAATAAAAAAAACTGAATTTACAATTTTGCATAAGAAATAAAATTTAAAAGTAAATTAAATACTCCCTCCGTCCCCAATCTATCTATCAATTTGTTTTTTATACGGAGTTTTAGAAATATTAGTATTATATTGGGATAAAGTAGAAATAAAGGTAAAAAGACTAAATTAACCTATTAGTATTGTATGATATAAATGTAATGACATTTGTGTAATATATTGTAAATTAAAAGGGTATTTGTAATGTTAGGTAGATAGTACAATTACTTAAAAAAGAAAACAGATACTTTGTTATGGGACGAACCAAAATGAAGAAATTGATAGATTGTTAAGGGACGGAGGGAGTATAACAACGGTTCAACAAAGAAAATATATATTTAGTTAACTTTACCGACAATACAGTGTATTCAATAATTTAAAAAAATAGTAATACATATTTATTATGATAATAATAATTTCCAAATATTATATTTATAATATAAAAATACATATTTTCAGAAAAAATTGATAATAATTTATTAATATATTTTATTTTTAAATTATTATTATTTATTAAATATTTAAAATAATATTAATAAATATTATTATATTCATTTATATATTATAACAATAACAACAATAATAATAAATAATAATAATAATAATTTTAAGAATATAATTTTTTTATAATTGTCCATTAAAATCCAATGAAATCAATAAACTCTAAAAGTCCGTAGAGGGTTGAATACCTCAAAATCTTAATCGAATACAACCAAATTTTAATTTATGTCGGTTTTATTTTTCTGTTTTATTTAATATTTTTATGTATTAGAGATCAATTTTTATTTATTTATTTATCTTTATTCTTACCACAAACATCTTGTTATAAGTATGTCAATAATAAAAGTTTGATACATTTATAGTTTAATCTTCCCAATAGAAAATATCTAAAAAAAATTAAGAGATTTTGAATAATTATACAAATATAGTTTATATACTCATTTTACAAATATGAGTAACTCTAAACAAAAGAAAATCGAGTACGAGAATTGCATAAAAAATATTAAAAATATAAATATATTATTTTAAATTAAATATTTATTTTTTTTAATAATCCCATAAAATTAGTCTACTTTTCCATTATAGTAATAATTTATAACCAATACTTATTATTTAAAAACTTAACTATATTATATTAATTACTACTTTATATCTTTAGTTTTATTATTTGATTAGTTGTAAATTTAAAAGTTGGACTAGGATTTTGAATAATAAAAATAAAATAAACATTTAATATGATATAAACCGATGTTCATGTAATGTTTTAAAATTTTAAATTATTTTTTTAATGTAATATAAAAAATTTGATGTTTGATTTAAAAATTTATGGCCGAACAATTAATTAAAGATGACATTTGATTTTGAAATTTTTTTTTTCAATAAAATAAAAAATAAAACTTATTTGTCATGAAAAATTATAAAATTACTTTTACTTTTGCTATTTAGACGTTAAGCATTCGATTCTAATAGTGTATATGCAATTCAGTTAGAGATGAATCGAGACAGTATATCAAAAATATCAAATTAGATTGTATACCGTATCAATGTTTTTAGTTTATTAAAAAAATATCGTTATTTTATCGAATATTTAGTATCTACAAAAATACCGAAAGAACTTTTATTTTTTTATATATACTGAAAATATCTAACTATATATGATTACCATGCCAAAAAATTTATATCGTACCGAAAATTTAAAATTTTTTCGGTAGTTTTTTTTGTACGAGTATACATATTATTTCCGTAATTCGGTATTTTTCTATCCATAAATTTAGTATACCAAAATATTTGTTAGAATATAAAAATAAAATTCTCTATTTCAATTATAAGAATTTGTACATATTTATAATGACGTATAAATCATCTAAATAATGCAAGAATCCTACAAATCTCTTGAATAAGATAACTACCATAAATATAATATATTGCTTCTAAATATATTTTTAACACCCCTTTCAAACTCAAGATATGATCGAACAAACTTGAGTTTGTCAGAAGTGACTGAAAAAAATATAGCCGAAATCTTCCACATACGAATTGGAATTCGCCAAAATTGACTAAAAGTGGTGTAACCGTCTACTAGATCAGAGTCAGAAGCAGAACTCTCAACACTGTTAGAGTTGGAAACATGACTCGTTCGCTCACAACGGAACTAGAGTCGAAAACAGAACTCGCTCACTTTTAATAGAGCTACAGTATTGTTCGCTCACAACGGAACTAGAGTCGAAAACAGAACTCGCTCACTCTTAATAGAGCTACAGTCGGAAACATAACTCACTTGCTCACAATAGAGTTATAGTTGAAAACATGACTCCCTTGCTCTCAATAGAGTTAGAGTCGAAAACAAGACTCTCAACGGCATTAGAGTCGAAAGTAGACTCTGTCAATGGAGTAGTACAGAAGAAGATCATATAAAAATAACAGTATGACCGTAAATAGAAGTATATACATCAATATAATATAATAATATATATGAAATATAACGAGTCATGGATGTACTCAAAGAGAATTTGACTATAATACCATGTTAGAATATAAAATTGAAATTCTCTATTTCAATTATATAAATAAGTACATATTTATAATGACGTATAAATCACTAAATAATGCAAAAATCCTACAAATCTTTTAAATAAGATAATTACCATAAATATAATATACCGTTTCTAAATATATTTTAACAACATTTATACGATGTGTCATTAAATTTGGAATGCACAACGAACTATTTCTAACAATAACACAATTTGAAAAAAATGTATGTATTGTTTATATAAAATTTTTAGTACTTTATATTTTTTTATTGTATTATTAATTAAATTTAAATAATTATTATTTTTTATTTAATTAAATGTATTGATTTACTATAGATACAATTATTATTATTTTTTTAAAAATAATTTCAGTAAATAAAAAATTCAATATTTAAAATTAAAATTAAATTTCATTTAATATTTTATCAAATAAACATATTTAAAATAATATTTATTACATCGTCTAATCAAACTAATTAAATAACGTAACGTAATATTTTTTAAACTGTGTGAAAAGAAAATAAACTAATTCCATATGACGGAAGGAGTAATGTTTTTTGAAGTTGTAATCCAAAAATTAGTCTGAGTTAGAGTGCAATATTTAACATTATATTTAAAGTACATACAGATGCTTTTTTTTGAAATTATTAAAATGACATAAACAATTAAAAAAAATACTCGCAACAATATAGAATTTTAATATATATTAAGGATTAACAATATATATATATATTTTTTGAAAAACACCCAAAAGTTTGTAATATATTTCAATAAGTATATTTATAATTTTTACAAAAAGTAATATATTTTTATTAAAAATAAAATTAAATAATATACTTGAGAATGCTATTTATATCAGCAATTTTTTTTGCTCCAATTTTTTGGTAAAAAAAATAAAAATTTTTACATAAACAGCATCTAATCGAATAACTTTTAATTTTTTATTTTATTTTGTTTGAATTCCAATTGTTTTTAAGCCATTAGCCATAGAACCAAAGCCAAGATTGGAGTCCAATAAAAAAAAAAAAAAAAAAAAAAAAAAGAAAAAAAAGAAAAAAAAAAAAAGAAAGCCAAGATTGAAGTATAGATAAAAAAAAAAAGAAAGCCATTGTAAAGGAATGCGTCTCCAGCTTTTAGTAATATATATGCAGCCAGACATGATACCCTTTTTTTTTTTCCTTTGTTTGTTTTTTTAGTTAAATTTATTATCATTATTTCGTTTCTATTGTGACACATCTTAGCTCAAAATTGCAACACATACATAGCTTAAACTTTAAAGTTTATTAGTTTTAGTTTTATTTTTGTAAAATAGATTTTGTTTACATCTCTTTTAATTTAATCACCTCTCCCATATATATATATATATATAATATTCCAATCGAGCTCCTATTATTTTCAAGTAATGGAGGCACTAGCACAGTTAGAATATGTCGAGGATTATATATAAAAAAAATAAATTTATTGTTGACAATTTTAGAAATGATAAAATAACCACATCAATGAATACTTTCATATCTCTGGAATTATTTATAGCGTTGGATAGCACAATCAAATCAACAAAATGCTTTCATTTATGTAAAATTATTTATAGTGTTGGATACAACAATCAAATCGATGAATATCTTCATATCTCTAGAATTTTCATTTTCTTGCACCTTTCATTTTATTTCTATTATATTTTAGATTTTATATATATTTCAAATATTTTTTAATTTCTTCTAGATTCTTCGTAATTCTAAGTTTAATTTCTAACAAATTTAAGAAAACAATATTGTAAATAAAGTGACAAAATATTTAAATATTTTTTAAAATCAGTCCCCAATTTTACAGAACAAATCCTGCGAAACAATTTTCTCTAGGTCACAAAATCATAGCAAAATCAATTTTTATGGAAATTGTTGCTAAAGAAGAAAATGATAAGGTTGTGAAGGTCAGCTTTGGATGAAAATATATACGTCTATACATAATAAATATTATAAATATATGTATAAAATTAAAATATTTATGTTAAAGATTTTTTTGATTATATTTAAATTAAAAGTTTAAGTATTTTTTGATATAATATTTAATTAAAAAAATAATATATTTTTATTTATAATAGAAGCAAACAAACCAAAAAAATATTCAGAAATAATTAGAATCTCTTAGCTATTTTTTCTATAAAATAATTAAATTTTATTTTTGCTTAGCGCCATCTAAATTAAAAAACAACAGAGAACAACCCTATAGATAATTTACTGCTATGTATACTTTCCACATATTCTGTCAAATATTCTAAATGCATACAAAAAAATAAAAAAAAATTAATCTGTTATGTATATATAAAATAAAGAAAAACGAATATTACTAATATATATCAAATAATTATTGCTTATAAAAAATAATCACCAACACTAGAAAAAATATGCAATTTCTCTAAAAATCTATTAATTTTATCATAATTTATAAAATATAAATATTAGTATAAAATCTATTAATTTCATCATAATTTATAAAATATAAATATTAGATACGTAGACCAAATAATTCATTATCAACACAGCTTTAATTTTTTTTTTTTTTTTTTATAAATATTAGATACTTAGGCCAAATAATTCATTATCAAAGTTTTATGCTTTTTTACAATACACAAACACTTTCAATAGCAAAATTGTTGCTAATAGTTGTAAAAATATTGTCACAAGAAAATTTGTATATATAAATTCAAATTGTATGTGTATTCAAAATATACGAAATATAAACTTAAAATGTTGTTAGAATGCACGAGACAAGACTGGTTGAACATTTTCTATTATACCACCAATTAGTTTTTGAAGAGAATTTGTTTATGGATCGTATATGAGAGTTGAAATGGTATGTTACAAAAGAAAAATACAAACTCATTTAAGAAAAATGGATATATATATATATATATATTCATTGCGACTTCTGAAGACTAACGAGGGAAAAATACGCTCCATTCGATCCTTTAGCTAGTAGCGACGAGTGTGTTCCCTTCTCGATTACTTTTCCTTTCTCCATAACTACGATCATGTCACAATTCTGTATAGTGCTCAGCCTGTGCGCCACCACAATACTTGTCCGGCCGATCATCACCCTCTCCAATGCTTCCTGCACCATTTTCTCCGACTGGCTGTCGAGCGCGCTTGTCGCCTCATCCAGCAATAAGATCGTCGGATTCTTGAGTATGGCGCGAGCAATGGCGATCCTCTGTTTTTGGCCTCCGGACAGCTGCACTCCTCTGTCTCCACAGAAAGTGTCGTATCCTTCCTTTAGCCCCGATATGAAATCATGAGCATTTGCTGCCTTGGATGCCTCTATGATCTCAGCTTCGTCGATCTCTTCTGATGCTCCGTAAGTTATGTTTTGTCTGATCGTGCCGGAAAATAGCGTTGGCTCTTGACTGACCAGTGCAATGTGCTTCCTTAGAGTCCTCAAGTGATATCTGTTGATGTTCTGTCCATCGATTCTAACCTCTCCTCGAAGAGGATCGTAAAATCGTTCAATTAAGCCTATAATGGTTGATTTTCCGGATCCGCTTTGGCCTACAAGCGCAGTAGATTCCCCTGCCTCAATCACTATGGAAAAATCTTTAAGCACCATTGTATTGGGTCGAGATGGATAAGCGAATTCGATGTCGCGCAGCTCAACATGGCCTGTTAGCTTAGTTGGCTTGACACCTGCCGGAGCTTCTGGTTCAATCAACGAACACCGGTCCAAGATAGCAAAAATAGATTTAACTGAATCGTAACCTTTGCTCAAATCATTGGTCATAGTTCCAGCCTCGCCGATGACACGTCCTGTGCTCGCCAAGATCATGAAGGTTTGAAACAACGCCTTTGAGTCAATGAAACCTTCTGCCATCAGCTTCCAACCGTACCAAAAACTTAAGGCCCAACTGAGTGGCATGAGACTCTGAGAAGTTCCGAGTCCAATGCCTGCATACCACGACTGTCTTATGCTCTCCATTCGCGGCCCTGCTTGTGCTTTTTCGAGCATTCTGAGTATTCGAGCTTGAGAAGAGAATGCTGTGACAGTCCGGAGATTGGAGACTGCTTCCGCTGCAAGCTTGCTACATTCATCTTGAGCTTTCATAGATTTTTGCGACATTTTCTTTAACAGAACGCGCTTGCAGTAGAAACATATAATGATCAACGGCTGCACGGAGATCATTACTAAAGCAAGCTTCCATGCGATGACAAGTCCCATGGTGCACGCGATCATTACTGCAGAGAAGGTTTGGATAAGCAGCGACATCCGATCGCCTACCAGAGACCTCACCTGCAATATTTCAAGTATACCATTATGTTCAATACTTTTTTTGCACAACAAAAACAAGGTTAGTGAACTTACCATGCCGGCATCTTTCGCTAGTCTGGAGCATATAGCACCGGTTGCATTTTTATCTTTGTCGAACCACCCGATTTCAAATGTGAGAATTTTTGACAGCATTCTTTCTCTTATTCTCCTTGTCAAGTGTTCCCCCATTGCTGCAAAGTTATAATGTTGAAAAACATTGACCAAAAGGGATGATATTGCCAACGCCAGAAAGCAAGGAGCATACATCTTCGTCTTTGCCTTGATTTGGTCGTGGTTTGGTAAGAAATAAACGGATATCATTGATCCCATTGTGAAGGCATACACGGGCTGAATAGCACCGAATAATACCGCGTTAATGCATCCTAATGTGGCTTGCTTCCACTCAGGCGAATTCATGGCTAATAATCTTCTCATCGAAGGTGTCGGAAATACTTGATCACGAGTCGCAGTTCCGGTGAGGTCATCGCCATGGTTGGTCGAACTAGATCTACTAACTATTGACAAACTTCTGCTACTTGTGTTATGTATGTCATTATTCATGGTGGGCGGAGAAGGACCGGCGCCTTTAGAATTAATACACTTGTTGGTTTTCTCAGACAGTTGTAAATGAAGAAGCTTTGTGTAATGGACAGAGTTGTTTCGAATTAGCTCATCATGCGAACCGATCTCCATGATCTCGCCATTTTGGATCACGGCGATGAGGTCAGCATTGCTGATGGTGGAAAGACGATGAGCTATAATGATGGTGGTCCGACCAACTGCTGCCTTGTCGAGAGCCTTTTGGACTAATCGCTCTGATTCTGAGTCGAGAGCACTGGTGGCCTCGTCGAGTAGAAGGATTTTAGGAGCTTTAATTATGGCTCTAGCTATGGCGATCCTCTGTTTCTGCCCACCGGACATCTGTACTCCTCTCTCGCCAACCTGCACAACGATGTGATTAACCATGGTTAAAAATTAACCAAGGTTGAGGTTATCTGCTACGTCTACTTACATACTAAAGAGTTATTACCTGAGTGTCATAACCTTGAGGCAATAGACTGATGAAGTTATGAGCATTGGAAGCTTTCGAAGCTTCGATGACATCGTCCATCGATGCATCTTCCTTACCGAAAAGTATGTTCTCTTTGATTGAGGTAGCGAAGAGGGCGGGTTCTTGACTCACCAACCCCATCTGTGATCTTAGCCACTTAAGCTGTAAATTTTCAATGTCGACGCCATCAAGGAGAATCTTGCCTTCAAGAGGATCATAGAATCTCTGCAATAAAGAAATAACCGTCGACTTCCCCGATCCACTTCCCCCGACCAATGCTACAGTCTTTCCTGCCGGGACTTTCAGATTGAAGTCTTGGAAGATTTTGCTTTCAGGCCTCGATGGATATGCGAATAAGACATGTCGAAACTCAACTTGTCCAGATACATTATTTAGTATTTGGCCATCTATGTTGTCCGAATCAATCTTTGGGACTCTTCGAATCATTTTCTTTATATGCTCTGCAGCTACTTTCGCCTCGGCAATGTATCTTAAATTGGGCAAAGCCGAGCCGAGCGCTCTGTTCAATCGAGAAATAAAGTGAAATTTAGCATAATTTTGGAAACAATCAGTTTGTTCACTCAACATTTGTCTAGCGGAATAATTCATCGTAAATATTATTAAAACAAGAGAAGAAGATGATGTTCTTACAATCCGCCGATAGTCATCGATGCTCCACAAACAAAGACATTGCCTCCTTGAGCGCCGTGGTATATGACCATTCGACTACCGTAATAAGTCATGAAGGACCAAATCGCAAAGGTTACGCCATTACTACCAATGGCCAAACCTTTGGCTAAGCCTTGTCTCAAACCCAATTTAACGGTCCCCTGAAGAGCATGAGAGTATGCATCGATGATCTTGCTCTCGCCTACAAATGAATACACTGTTCGAATCGAATAAATTGCTTGTTCGACTATTACACCGGCTTTGTTGTACTCATCCTTGATTTTTCTTGCAATGTTCATCAATGCCCTCCCATACAAAAAACCCGGTACCAAAAGAAATACTATGAATGGGAACCCCACAATTGCTAGTCTCCACGACAATATGAATGCTGTCAAATAGGATGCCATGAATGTTGAAATGCTTGATACGAAAACTGGAATCTGTTTGTCATCGATCAAGAAACAAGAATGTCTGAAATGATAATCCATGATTGTATATATGTATGTATGTATGCATTACCTTTTCACTAATGACCTCTTGAATTATTAGACTATCTGCGGAGATACTTTCTATAATTTCTGCCGTGCTGGTTACATGCAGATCGAAGTAGCCGACATCTTGTCTCATTACAGCTTTTAAATATCTAATTCGTAATCTTGAAGCTTGTCTTTCTGCTGTTCTTGAAAAACAATATCCTTCTGAACAAAAAAGTTTTTACTATATGTGACAATGTGTTTCTTTTTGAAAAAAAAATTGATTTGAATTTGATATGAAAATGATATTTGATAAGATATTTTGTGAGAGAAAAATTGTATTTTTTTTTTTTTTGAAAAAAGCAGACTTCAAATAGTAAAATTTGGGGAAACTCCGCTAAGAAGAGAATTAGGGATTAACTTGTAACTTGACTTTGTATTTTACTATACAATTCTTAATTACAATTTTTTTTTTCAATAAAAATAATATTTTATCTAGCAAAACATTTTATTTAAATTATTGTTTAAATCAAAGTCCACGTTTAAAGTTTAAGTAAAAAAATAAATTAATTAACAAAAATATAAAAAAAAAAAATAAACCGTGTTTTTGGTCCGCCAAAAAACAATACTGTCAAATTTTCTATTTTCATATTTTCCCTATTCCATCCTATCATGAATAGGACTTTAGATTATATGATTTTACTTAAGTTTTTTTATATTATATTTATATGATTTTATAATAAAAAGAAATTACTTTTTTTTTTCTAAGATATTAAACTTAAATACTATTTAGAGATATAATTTTATGATTGAAATATATTGTATAAACTATTTAAATAAATTTTTTATATAATATTTAAATCCAAAATTTATAACATATTAGTATTACGTAATGTTTTGCGAAAAAAAAATGATAATGGGAATGTATGATTTAAGTATTTTTATTTAATTATGTTTTTGTTATTTAAATACAATATACACTTTCATTATTTATATATTCCCTACACAATTTTCTTTATCTCATATAAAAAATTTTATTTTCAACTATTTCACAAAACAAAAACACCAAATTTTTCTTCAAAAATAAATAATAAAGATTATATTCAAATTTTTTTTTTTATATTATTTTTAAAATTTTTACAAAAATATTATGTAAAAATTTGAGTTTAATATTATATAAAAATTAATTTGAAATAATTTATATAATATTTCAAGAATTTTTTATTTACTTTTGAGAGTGATATTTTAAGAAAAAGTTATAGTAATATTTTTATATAAAAAAAAAATAGTATTACATTATGTGTCTTTTAGGATACATCAAGTTATATTGAAATTTTATAAAATTTTTAAGGAAAATATTATATAAGAAATTAATTTAAATAATTTATATAATATTTTAGTCATGACATTATGTCTAAATAGAATTTAAGTGTGATATTTTCATAAAAAAATAATATTTTTTTACTATAAAGTAATTGTATAAGTGAAAACAAACATAAATCCTACTAATATTCTTACTCTCTTTTACGTGTTACTATTTCATTTTTGAGAATCTAAAGACATAAAAAAAATAAAAATAGAGAATTTGATGCTGCAATAAGACTACCACATCTATTTCTCTCTCTTTTTTAATACTAGTTTTAGTTGGAGTGGCTCTCTAAGAGAAAATTGTAAAAATTATATATATATATATATTTATGTATATGTTGGAAATTTTAGGGAAAAATAATAAGATTGGCTTATTGATTATAACATAATACAAAACAGACTCGATGGACTCAAATCTAATAATATAATCTATGGATCAAACTAAATCTAAAACTGAATATCTCAATATATCTAATTATTATTTTTTGTTTCTTATTTATCTGGTTGTAACTATATAATGTATATTTGTAAAAATAATTATTTATGTCCTTCGGTCGCGCGTCATGCGTCATGTTTACACGATGGTTGTTCCATACGCGCGACGGAAAAACAGAAATGACGTTTTTTACAAATGTGAGATTAAAAATGACAAAAATAATAATTGGATATACATTAAAAATATTTTTTGCATTTTTTCCGACTCTCTAAGTAGAATAATTTAATTTAGATAGAGTTAGAATGATTTTATTTTTGTTGAAATTCTTTAAAATTATACATTAACGGATTTTATTATTATTATTATTATTATTTTAATGTTGATAATGAAATATTATAAAAATTTAAAATGTTCCAACTTACATACAATTAATAAAAAAAATTGAAATAAATGCAATACTTACCAAGAAAACTAGCCACAAACTGGCCACAACCAATGTAGCACATCCATAGTGCATTCTGAAAGCCACAAAAACACAAATAAATCAATGATTATCATTATATTTGTTAAGGTAATAAACTAATTTGATCATCTAATTAATTATATATATATTTTTATATGATTTCCAATATATATATATATATATTCAATTCTCTCAGAAACCTTATTGATAGCGTGAGTCATGAAACTGTCAGCCGCCATTGAAGAAGAACTCTGAGAGTGAGAGTGGGAAGCTCCAATGGTGTTGAGGAGCTTGCTGGAGACGAAGACAGTGAGAGGCATCGATATTCCGTCGCAAAAGGCACCCAGAAACCCTAACCCCATCAGCACCATATCCACCCAGTCCCCATGGATAAACATATACATATCCATACCCCCACCCTCTTTTCTTCTCTGAATTTTTTCCTCCATAACCAAACCTGCAAAACTTCATATAATTGGGGAGGGATCGTGGAGATCCAAATTATAATTGATATAGAATGTGTTTATTATGTGTCGATAATATTATTTTATCTACATAACTTCATATTTATTTTAATATATTCAAATCCTATAATTAATTAATTAAATAAAAATATAAAACTCATAATTATATATTACTATGTCTGTGTCACTTAATTTGTCTCATCTTTCTATTTTCGTCTCACTTCATTTGTCTTTTTTTTTTTTAAAATTATACACTTTAGTCACATTTTAAAATTCATAATATATATTTTTATTTTAATTAAATTATTTAATATATTAGTCTTAATTTATAATTATTTTCATTAATATAATTTTTAATTACTTTCTAATTATACAATACTAAATAGGATAATATTATTGAGACTGAGAGAGTTATATATTTATTAATTTAGATATTTAATATATATTTTAATAAAAATATTAAAAGAAATATAATTTTACGCTTGTTTTGTGTTTTAATTTGAATAATATTTCTAATATAGAGAATTGTATAAGTAATATAAAAATAATGAATGCAGTGTAATACTTTATTTAGGAAATGCATTGAAAAATTTTAGTTAAAAGAACACAAAAAATTTCGAATTTTTAAATATATTATGTAATTTCGAATTTTTTGATTTGATTTGAAAAAAAAAATTCAAATTTGGAAAAAACACATTTCGATTTATTGATTGATTTTATTTTTTTTTAAAATAAAAATTTCAAGTTAATTTGTATTTGACAAAATCTGAATGGAGAACATATTGAAAATCAAGAACAAAGCATTCAAACACATATGAGAAAGTTGACTTTGGCATTGCGTCGTTAATGGAGCATTATTAATTAGCGATATATTAATTAATTAAGAAATAAATTACATGGAGAACTGAGCTGTAATTTGATTAATTATTTTGTGTAGATTTATCACATCGGACTAATAAAAACTAATATTAATTAATGTAGATTTCGTTGGATTTTGCTGTTTATATAAAGAACATGGAAAATAATTACCAATAAAATTATCGGGGAGATTTTGATTTGATATTTTTAAAATATTTTTAAATTAACAACATCGTGCTAACAAATTATTGTTGGTTTTGCTGCTCTAGCTGTAACACGACAATTCGATAGGAACTAGACACGAGATAATTAAGTTTAGGTTAAAAGATTTCGATTTAATTATGTATATAGATTAATACAAATTCGGCATAATAATTCAATTATAATATATTAATATTAATTAATAAATTTATTATATATATATTTTTTTAATTTGATAATTAATTTATATATTAATTTAAATTAAGTTCAATCTTAATTCACTACACATTTTATACTAGAATCAATAAAAACTAGGTAAATTGTTTTTTTTTTTTAGTCCCGCTACTGGACCCCTTTATTATTTTAGTCCCGTAAGTAGAGCTTGTCGCAAACTAGTCCCATAAGTGAAAAATTTTCGTTGTTTTAGTCCTCCGGCGCCGGAGACACCCGCGTGGCTCGCCGGAGGTGACGTGTCCGCCAGGTGTCCCGCCAGGTCAGCGACACCCGGCGCACACGTGGATTTATTTATTTATTTATTTTAATTCTTTTTAATTGGACCAAATAAAAAAATAAAAAAATACAAATAAAATTAAAAATAAGTTTAAAAAAATTTAAAAAAATGAAAAAGAATAAAAAAAATCCATGTGTTTGCCAGGTCAGCGAAAATTGGTGGACATGTCACCTCCGGCGAGCCACGCGGGCGTCTCCGGCGCCGAAGGACTAAAACAACGAAAATTTTTTACTTATGGGACTAGTTTGCGATAGGCTCCACTTACGGGACTAAAATGATAAAGGGTCTAGTTACGGGACTAAAAAAACAGTTTACCCTAAAAACTAATATGATAGGACAACCTGACACGAACATGACAAAAAAAAATTGAGTTTGAGTCAAGAATTTCGATCTAATGACGAATATGGGTCAATACGAACCAAACACGATAATAAACATATTTAGTTAAAGTTGAGTGATTTCACTCTTTTAAAGTATTCAATCCATACGAATCGACCCAGGTCTATTCTTCCCCCTATAACAATATAATTAATGATTAATTTATATATTTTTCCTTCCAACTGAAAGTACTGCATTTACCATTTTGTTTGTTTTATTTAAAAATATTAGTTTTATATTATATTTATATAAATTACAAATTTACTATTATATATATATATAAATATAATATATATAAAAATTATTTTATACACTCTCATTAACTAATAAAATACTATTATTTTTTAAATGTGTTTTTGTTAAAAAATAATTGCAAATATGAGATATGACAAAATCAATATCACAAATCCAATAACACCGAGACTGAATTTTAGATCGAAATTGAATTCGAGCCTCACATAGACCCGATTTCCTTGAAACGAATTCAGCCCGCCATCGATCGTCTCCCAAGATATTATGAATTAAACAGAATAATGAATTTTGCGAACCGAACTTGATTGCAAAAGCTACAAAGAATTTTTGCTTAAGAAAGATTTTGGAAGTGATTTTCACTGGTCATTTCAACTTCTTTCTTCTTCTTTCATTTTTCATACATTGTTTTGTATTTTAATTTAAAGAATTTTTTTTAATATAAAAATAGAAAATTATATAAATAGTATAAAAATAATAAATGTCGTCTAAGTATATTAATTCATTCTAATTAAAATTGGATCTTTCAACATTAATTAGTTCTACAACAATTATTGAAAACAACAAAGTAAGAACTCAACCACAAATAACATAAATTCAGTTTAGTCAATGGTAGGATTATACTGTACATTTCTTCTACCTTGCTCATAAAAAATATGAATGCAAAATTAAAGAACCCAAATTCATCAAGAACCCAAAATTCATCATATACATATACATATACACATATATATATATTGATTGTACTAATAGACGATTATGAACTCGGCATTATTAGCTGATTATGGCCTGTGTATTTCGTTGAGGCATTCTTTGAAGACCAACCAGCGAATAATACGCTCCATTCGATCCTTTGGCCATTAATGATGAGTGTGTTCCCTTCTCGACCACTTTTCCTTTGTCCATCACAACGATCATGTCGCAATTCTGTATAGTGCTCAGCCTGTGAGCCACAACAATGCTCGTCCGCCCAACCATCACCATCTCCAGAGCTTCCTGCACAACTTTCTCCGACTCGCTGTCGAGCGCGCTTGTCGCCTCGTCTAGCAACAATATCGCCGGATTCTTAAGGATGGCACGAGCAATGGCGATCCTCTGTTTTTGGCCTCCAGACAGCTGCACCCCTCTGTCTCCACATAAAGTGTCGTACCCTTCCTTCAGCCCCGATATGAATTCATGAGCATTTGCTGCTTTGGATGCCTTTATGATCTCGGCTTCATCGATCTCTTCTAATGCTCCGTAAGCTATGTTTTCTCTGATCGTGCCGGCGAAAAGCGTCGGCTCTTGACTGACTAGTGCAATGTGCGTCCTTAAAGCCCTCAAGTTATATGTCTTGATGTTCTGTCCGTCGATTCTAACCTCTCCTCGAAGAGGATCGTAGAATCGTTCGATTAAGCCTATAATGGTTGATTTTCCGGATCAACTTTGGCCCACAAGTGCAGTAGATTCCCCCGCCTCAATCACTATGGAAAAATCTTTAAGCACCATTGTATCGGGTCGAGATGGATAAGCAAATTTGATGTTGCGCAGCTCGACATGGCCTGTTAGCTTAGTTGGTTTCACACCGGTCGCATCTTCTGGCTCAATCAACGAGCACCGATCCAAAACAGCGAAAATGGATCCAGCTGAATCAGCACCTTTGCTCAAATCATTCGTCATGGTTCCAGCCTGGGCTATGACGTTTCCTGTGCTTACAAGGATCATGAATGTCTGAAACATTGCTTTCGCCCCGATGGCACCTTCACCGATCAGCTTGCCACCGTACCAAAAATCTAAGGCCCACGTGAGTGTCATGAGACTCTGCGAAGTCCCGAGTCCAATGCCTGCATACCATGACTGTCGTATGCTTTCCTTTCGTGGCCCTTTTTGGACCTTATCGAGCATCTTGAGTATCCGAGCTTGAGAAGAGAAAGCAGTGACGGTCCGGAGATTTGAGACTGCTTCGGCTGCAAGCTTGCTACTTTTATCTTGAGCTTTCATCGATTTTTCTGACATTTTCTTTAGCAGAACGAGCTTACAGTAGAAGCATACAACGATCAATGGCTGCACGGCAATCATTAATAAAGCAAGCTTCCATGCGATGGCAAGTCCCAAGGTGCACGCAATCGTTACTGTAGAAAAGGTTTGGACAAGCAAAGACATTCGATCTCCAACCAAAGACCTCACCTGCAATATGTGATGCGTAAATATATATGATTATGTTCGATACTTTCTTTCGTATAATACTACTGACCTGCAAATAAAACAAGGCTAGTGAACTTACCACACCGGCATCTTTTGCTAGTCTAGAGCATATAGCGCCAGTTGCATTCTCATCTTTGTCGAACCACCCGATTTCGAAAGTGAGTATTTTGGACAACATTCTTTCTCTTATTCTCATTGTCAAGTGTTCCCCCATTGCTGCAAAGTTATAATGCTGAACGACATTGATCAGAAGGGATGCTACTGACAATGCTACAAAGGATAATGCATAAATCCTTGTCTTCTCCTTGATTTCATCATGATTTGGTAGGAAAAAAACAGATATGATCGATCCCATAGCGAAAGAATACAAGGGTTGTATAGCACCGAATAATGCTGCATTGATGCATCCTAATGTAGCTTGCTTCCATTCCGGAGAATTCATGGCTAATAATCTTCTAATCGAAGGTGTCGGAAATACTTGATCATGAGTCGCAGTTATGGTATTCGCTTCAACATAGTTTTCTTCATCTAAATTGGTCGAACTAGATCTACTAACCGAGGATAGCCGTCTACTACTTGTGTTGTGATTGTCATTGTTCACGATGGACGAAGAAGGTCCAGCTTTGTTATGATTAGTAAACTCTTTGGTTTTCTGCATCTCTTGTAGACGAACAAGCTTTGTGTAATGGCCGAAGTCATTTTCAATTAGCTCATTGTGCGAACCAATTTCCACGACCTCGCCATTTTGGATCACGGCGATAAGGTCAGCATTGCAAATGGTAGAAAGTCGATGAGCTATGATGATGCTCGTCCGACCAACTGTTGCCTTGTCGAGAGCCTCTTGGACTACTCGCTCGGATTCTGAGTCGAGAGCGCTGGTGGCCTCATCGAGTAGAAGGATATTGGGAGCTTTAATTATAGCTCTAGCTATGGCGATCCTCTGTTTCTGGCCACCGGACATCTGTATGCCTCTCTCACCAACCTGTGCGCAGACATGATCAACTATGGTTAAAAAATCAATCGAGGTAAAGGTTAGCTACTAAGACTTACTTATATACTAAAAAGTTATTACCTGAGTGTCATAACCTTGAGGCAAAAGATTAATGAAGTTATGCGCATTCGAAGCTTTCGAAGCTTCGATAACCTCTTCCATTGATGCATCTTCCTTACCAAAAAGTATGTTCTCCTTAATTGAGGTAGCAAAAAGGGCTGGTTCTTGACTCACCAATCCCATTTGTGATCTAAGCCACTTAAGCTGCAACTTGTCAATGTCGACGCCGTCAAGAAGAATGTTGCCCCCAAGAGGATCGTAGAATCGTTGCAATAAAGAAACAAATGTCGACTTCCCCGATCCACTTCCTCCAATCAATGCTACTGTCTTCCCTGCTGGGATTTTCAGATTGAAATCTTCGAAGACTTTGTTTTCGGGCCTCGAAGGGTATGAGAATTCGACATGTCTGAATTCAACTTGTCCGGATACAGTTGGTAGTATTTGGCCATCCATGCTGTCCGAATCAATCTTAGGAACTATTTCAATTACCTCATTTATGTGTTCTGCAACTGCTTTTGCCTCAGAGAAGTATTTTAGATTAGGCAAAGCCAAGCCGAGCGCTCTGTTCAATCAAGACAATAAAAATCTATTCAGATATAACTTAAAAAGTGGTAAAACTTGAATTGATTTCAAAATATATTTTGACAAGAGAAGATCATGTTCTTACAGTCCACCAACAATCATTGATACTCCAACGGCAAAGACAGTGCCTCCTCCGGCGCCGTGGTACATCACCATTCGACTGCCGTAATAAGTCATGAATGACCAAATCGCAAAGGTAACACCATTACTACCAATGGCCAAACCTTTAGCTAAGCCTTGCCTCAACCCCAACTTCACAGTACCCTCAAGAGCATTAGAGTATGCATCGATGATTTTGCTCTCGCAGACAAATGAATAAACTGTTCGAACTGAAGAAATTGCTTGCTCGACTATTACACCAGCTTTGTTATACTCATCCTTGATTTTTCTTGCAATGCTCATAAGGGCTCTTCCATACATCAAACCTGGTACTAGAAGAAGCACTATAAAAGGGAGCCCCACGATTGCTAGTCTCCACAACAATGTGAATGCGACCAGATAGGATGCCATGAACGACGAAATGCCTGATACAAAAACTGGAATCTGTAGGTTCATGCATCAAGAAAAAAGAATGTCTCAAGCCAAATATGCAATAAAAAAAAAAAAAAAACACTTGATAATCTATTAATATATATGTATTACCTTTTCACTAATGGTGTCTTGAATTACTAGACTATCTGTGGAAACACTTTGGATAATCTCTGCAGTGCTGGTTACATGTAGATCGAAATAACTTACGTCCTGTCTCATAATAGCTTTCAGATATCTTCTCCGTAGCCTTGACGTTTGTCTCTCTGCTGTTCTTGAGAAACAATATCCCGCTGAAGAAAGAAAGAATTATTTTTCCTATTATAGTTTTTTTAAATGCATTTAGGATAAATTATACTATCACTCAACTCTATATTTCATTAGAAATGCAAGAATTACCCTTTGTTAAAAATAAAATCTGTTTGTGTTAATATAAAGTCCACACAGAACTGTGATTTCGTATGACTAAGAATTAACATTCATTGTGTGATGGTTTTCAAATATTGACACATGCATTTATATTCTAGACAAGATAAATATGTACACTGATAATAAGCCTAAAGCTTAAGGATAGGATTAGGTTCTTATATGTGTGAACAAAAAATAGACGTGAGTTGTTTAGTAAGGGATGGTTTGGTGGTGGTGTGGGGTGACTCGTGATCTTGACGTCATGGGTTCAATCCCCCGATGTGTCTAGGTTGACTGACCTGCCACACATGGTTCGTCTAATGTTACTTGCCTTGTCGGGCCTAGTTTATAGGGTATTAAGTTCAGCATGAGGTTTACCTAGTGCACACTTTAGGATAGCTGCTTGAGGTTCCCACGTCATAAAAAAATAGACCTAAGTTTTAACGTTGTACTTATTTTATTATCCAAATTTATTTTTATTTATTTTTATTTTTTTTCGTTTTACTTTTTAGTAAAAAAGATATTACCTCCGTCCCATAAGAAGAGTACCGTGAGGTTTTCTCCGCGTTAATCTTTGAATATTAATTATTATATCAATATATAAAAATATCTCTATTAGTATCTTATAATACAAATACAATGATATTTATGGAGTAAATTATATAAATAAAAAGATATTTTTAATGTTAAGTATGCAAAAAATAAATGGTGTCGATTTTATGGGACAGATGTAGTACTATTTTTTTTTCTTTATCCTAAAAAGTAAAATTTTTATTTTAACCTATTTTTCTTAAAATCTGTATCTGGTCAAATAAGCATAATTTGATTATAGAAAGAGTATATCTTATTATTATTTTTAATATGTAATGCCTGATTCTTTTTCCAAAATATCCTAGTAAAATTTGATCTTGTCCCAAATGCAGATCAATTTGGATTAAACTAGAAAGAGCTCTAATCGAGCCGAACAGAGTCGGAGCTTGTCATGTTTGAGCTCGGCGTTAAAGACTCGAGCTCGGCTCGTGTTCGTTCGTTAAGAGGCACGAGCTAAAATTTTTGTTCGAGCTCGATTTGTTTAGTAATTTTTTTGTTCGTGTTCGGCTCGGTTCGTTAAGAAAAATTTTATTTTATTTATTTAATTTTTTTAAAAAAATTAAATTATGTTAATAATAATTATAATTTTTATTAATATATTTATATAAAAATAGAATGAAATATAATATATATATATAAAGATATATATAACTATTAATTATAAAAATATTAATTTAATTTTTCTAATATATACTGTCGAACATTCGCGAATAAGCTCGAGCTCGTTCGTGAACAGAACGAGCCAAAATTTGTGTTCGCGTTCGGCTCGTTTAAATTAACGAACGAGCTCTTAGCGAGCTCAAACGAGCCGAACCGAGCCAAGCACGAAAATTCACATAGGCGATGTAAGAGTGCGTGCTGTGAATATCATGTGCGGACAAAGGAAATAAGTAGCGACTTTTGTAAACATATGAAATATATTATTCTAGCGACATAAATACATAACAAAAGTAATGATAGGTAGAGTCAAGTTGAGGAATCAAACTAGACTCGATAAAGACTAAGGTTATATTGTATGTTGAAAATGTAAAAAATTTGAATATTATCACAGCTAGTACAAAGTACTGAAGAGTTACGATCTTGTTGGCATAGCCTTGTATAAGTCTATATTTGTAACTATATACTTCTTTCGTTCCATAACTAGATATTCATTTGTTTTTTCACATAGTTTTATAAATATTAGTATTATATTGGAATGTGGTAAGAATAAAGTAAAAATGACTAAAATAACCTTATTAGTATGTGTGATATAACGGTAATGATATTTGTGTAATATATTGTAAGTTGTAAGAGTATTTGTAATGTTAGATAGATGGTACCGTTACTAAAAAAAATAGATATTTTGTTATGGACAGAATAAATTAAAAAAATAATTTTTTTTTTTTTTTTATGGAACAGAGGGATTATATAATTTAATTATTTTATTGTAATCCCCTAATACTTTTTTAAAAATAGTCTAATAATATTCCTCGCCTTGCAATGTCCAAAAAATAGGTTAGTTTGGGTCGAATTCGATTATCAAATTATCTTGAGTTTCTTCTTCTTTTTTTTTTTTTTTTTTTTTTTTTTTTTTTTTTTCATCTTTTTGGTGATATTTATATAAATACTTTACAATAATTATTTTTATTCAATTTAAAGTAATCTGAATAATAGACAGCAATTTTTTTTATTTTTATTTTTGTTTTTATTATGGGATGAAATGTTATTCCATCATATGCAGTTATGGTAACAGAATGGGATTTTATGTACTAATAAAAAATACATATTCTATAATTTTTAAAATAATTCAAAATAAAAAATAATAGTAAAATTGTTAGAAAAATATCAAAATTATAACGGTGAAAATATTTAACCAAAAGTAAAATAAGCTAACGCAATGAGACCGAGACAGTCTAATTCAGATATATTTTCGATTGATTTATCATTACTTCTTTCTATTGAAAGAGTTTCATAAAGTGTATATAAAAGAAATTTTTTGTGTAAAAAAATTTGCAGAAATTTAAAATTTATCAATTTAAAATAGTTGTAATTTTTTTTTAAAAAAATTAATACTTACCAAGAAAGCCGGCCACAAATTGTGCGCAAGCAATGTAGCAAATCATTAGCACATTCTGAAATTCACAAAAATAAATAAATAAATAAAATAATAATAATAATTTCAAGATTAACACTATATTTTTTGCCACAAAAAATAAATAATTGTACTCTAAATTGATAAATAAAATAATAATAATAATTTCAAGATTACTACTATATTTTTGGCCACAAAAAATAAATAATTGTACTCTAAATTGTAAAAAAAATTCTACTGTTCCATTAATAAACTAATATTTTTTTTACTTGCACTTTAAATTTATCATCTTGATGTATTTTTAACATATATATTTACGTGAAATATTTTACAATGTCATATTTTTATTTCTACTAAATAAATATATATTTAAAAAAATAATTTATTTTTATAAAATTGATTAATATTATTAACCGTTATATTTATTTACCTATATGATAAGTAGATTATCATTTTACCTTTTTCCTTTTTCCGTTATTTTTACTATATAGTTTTATTAATTTTAATAAAAATATATTTATACATATCAAATTTAAGTAGTATTATTTTTAAAATTAAAGAAAAATTGCGAAAAATGCTCTGAGTGTAGGTTTAATTATTATTTTTGAATATTTTTTTTTAAAAAAAATTCTGTAATTTAAAATATTATGGGTACTCCAAGCAATAATTTTATTTCCGGTGTTGAAAAAATGCACGTGATCATCACGTGCGCCTTTGTGGCATGATCGACGTATACGTGAATGTCGTTAATGTTGTTGTTTTGTCGTCCGTGTGGTCGTCGAACAAGTGATGTAGAATTATTATTTTTTTTTTCACTTTCATAATTTAAGACATTATGTGTACTCCGAGTATTATTTTTGTCCTCCAGCGCCTGAAAAACAATATGTTCTAGGCTTATTTATTTTATTTTTATTTATTTCAATTCCAATTGGACCAAACTAAATTTTAAAAAATATATATATATTTTTAAAAAATTCTACGTCACCTATCCGACGACTCTAGAACAAATTATAATTTCGGTGCCGGAGGACAAAAATAATAACCGGAATACACATAATGTCCTAAATTTCGAAAGTGAAAAAAATTAATTTCACGTCATTTGTCTGACGACCACGCGGAGGACAACACAACGACGTCGATATCCACGTATGCATCAGGCAATGCCACGAAGACGCACGTGACGATCACGTGTATTTTTCCGACACCGAATAACAAAAATAATGCCCAAAATACATATAATATTCTAAATTGTGAAAGTGAAAAAAAAAAGAAAAAAAAAAAAGTATTCGAAAATGATAATTACATTTTACATACAAGCCATCTTTTACCATAAAAAGTTATAAAATATGAAAAAGAAAAAAGAAAAGAAAAGAAAAAAAAGTACACACACCTTTAATTATTTTAATTAGTCCGTTTTTGTTGTTTAAGTGACCATGTGTACAGAAATGATTTCACTGCAACAAAGTTATCTATATTTTTTTTTAATAAGCAAATAATAAAAGATAATTAAAAATAAATTTGATTACTGAATTTAACTAATATGTTATAATTTTATGTATAAAGTTAGTAAAATAAATTAATTACTCCCACATTTGTATCTTAATTCAAATAGACTAAGAACATGGTCTGAATTGCTATGTTTGTTCGTGGATTTTAGAGTTGGGTTGGAGATCTCAAATAATAAAATTTTAAATTGAATTAATTATTTGATATAAATTTTTTAAATATTAAATTTAATTTTAAGCGTAATATAAAAAATATAGATTTGATTTAATATATATTTTTTTAAATAAAAATTTTCTTGATGTAAAAAAAAATAGAAAAAAAATGATAAGGAAAAATTACGGTGAAGAATTCTTCTTTTTAATTTGAAATTGAGTTTAATTAGTACGGATCTTGGTATAATATTATTAAAAAAAAAATTAAGTAATATTCTTTTATGAAAAACCAACCATATAAATTGAATATTATTAATTTATTTTCAAAAAAATAAATACAGTATATCTTTTGTATTACATTTAATTAAAAATAATTTTTTTTAGTAATTTCGGAATTCTAGCTTTATGATTACAAATTTATTCTCACACTACCATTGCGGACTTAATAATTACTGTATTAACAAATATTTTACCTTACAAAGTAATAATAATTATTATTATTATAAACAAATGGTGGCATTCCTCAACGAGTCATTATATTCTTCCCCAAATGAAATAAAAAGTGTGAAAAACCAGATGGATCATATAGAAAGAGACAGGATGTAAACAATAAATATATATATATATATACACACAGATGAATGAATCAATTAAGCAACGAACCTTGTTGATGGAGTGAGTGAAAGTATCATCAGCCATTGAAGAAGAATTCTGAGACTGCTGATCAGAAGTTCCCATGGTGTTCATGAGCTTGCTGGAGACGAAGATGGTGACAGGTAAGGATATCCCATCGCAGAAGGCACCCAGAAACCCTAATCCCATCAGCAACATATCCACCCAATCCCCATGCATAAACATACCCATCGCCCCACCCCCACCCCCACCCCTCCTCTTCATTTTCCCCTCCATACAAAAAACACTACTTCTTCTCTCCTTCTCCCCCACCCTCTCTCTCTCTCTCTCTCTCTCTATATATATATATATATATAGAGAGAGAGAGAGAGGGGGGGGGGGGGGGGGGGGCGGGAGATTGAAAAATACAAAATGTTGAGTATTTTTTTAATTCAATATCAATTTATTTTTTTAAATATAATTATATTATATAATAAATATTTGATTTTAAATACTACATGTGTCCGGTTCTAAGGGTCTCGTTTACTTTTTGTGATATTTGAATATTAATTATTATATCAAAATATAGTATAAATTTTAAAAAATTGCAAAAATACTTTATTAGTGTCCTATAATACTAATAAGACATTTGTAAAAAAAATTATAAAAATATAAGAATATTTTTAATGTTAAATACAATATCACAAAAAGTAAATGTGACATTTAGAGGCAGACGGAAGTAGTATATCAAAAAAAAAAAATCCTCGATGAATATTACAAATATACAATGGGTGTACTTTTTTTTTATTTTTTTTTTATGGGATTTTTCAAAAAATATACTATTTATCAAATTATTTCTCTTAAAATATATCAAATTAAACATTTTTTTAAAATTTTTTTATATTGTACTAAAAATTAATTTTAAATTTAAAATATTACATCAATACTTATTTATATCATACCAAACTATTTAAATTCAAAATTTTTATTATTTAAATTCTAACTCAAAATTCAAACGTCTAAACAAAAAACACACCTACACATTCACACAATATATGATATACTCCCCTCGTTCGGTGATAAATTTTTCATTTGACTTTTGCACGCGGATTAAAGTAAATTAATATTTTATAAGTATATAGGATAATAAAGTAACGTAATATTTTTTTTACCCTTGAAAATTAATATGAAAAAGTAAAAAGTATGAATAGTTTGGTATTTATTTAAAAGATTTTTTTTTTAAAAAAAAAAAGAAATTGATTTGAACAAATTAAAATGATAATTAGAAATTTAGTAGCGGACGGAGGGAGGGAGTATATTCTATCTATTTATAAAAAATTAACAATTAAATACAAAATATTATTTTTTATATCTTTGAGATACGATTCTCTATACTTAATCTATATATATATAACATATTTACTTAAGAGCACAATCCAAAATTTTATTAAAAAAAAAAAGGGATTGTATTTTAAATTCACTATTTATTTTATTTTTTTTCTCAAAAATATTAAATTAAATACTTATTTTTTATTTTTTATATTATAGTAAAAATTAATTTTATATTCAAAATATCACATCAACGCCTATTTATATTAAGTCATACCATTATTCAAATTCAAAATTTTTATTATTAAAATTCCAATTCAAAATCCAGTCGGCATTGCCTCATTAATGACACTAATTAATGCATAGATAGAACTGAGCTGTATTAATTTGGTCAATGCATAGATGTCTTGGGATTTTGTTGTTCACAGAAATCACGTAGATAATCATTATCAATTAAATTATTGGGGAGCGATATTCTGATTTGATACTGTGCATATATTTTAATTAATTAATTAATTAATTAATCACATCGTGCTCACAAATTATTGTTGGTTTTGTCGCTTACAAAATAATGAAATGATTAATTTATACATAGCTTCAACCTTGCCTTTTATGTGAATAGTAAGTAAATAATACTGCCTCCTTCCCACCACCACACTTAAACCTTTGGATCAGGGACACGATATTTAAGGCGATGATGTTTAATTAGTTAATAATAATTAATTATTATATTATTATATTATTTTTTTAATAATTAATAATATTTATATTTTAAAGTAAATTTAATATATATTATTAAAAAAATTAAAATATATGTTTAAATATTTAAAAACTATATAGCAATTAAAAAATATATGCAATATGGATATCATTTTGTAGAGAATAAAATTTTCAATAATACAAGTAAATAAAAAAAATATTTTTGTTTATTTATAATTAACATAAATCAATTTTATAAAAGATATGTAGTGTTAAGTATAAAAATATTTATTTTTTTGAAGAGAGATATAGAAATAAAGGGGTTTTAAGTGGGTCATACTTCATTTGTGATGTTGTATATTATGCAGTTAATTAAGTTGATTTGTATTTATTAAATATGTTTTGAATTAATAATTTTTACCAAAAATAGAAAGATGTCAATTGTTATAAGACAAACAAAAATAGAAATAGTATAAGTGTGGTGGGACGGAGGGAGTATTATAAGAAACTCTTGCAGAAAAAAAGAGTTTGTATCTTAGCTGTAGTTTAAAATTAATTTGAAGGAATGTTGATTTGCACTTGTTTGAATGGTATTTTGATATTATATTTTGTAATGATAAATACTCCGTCCGTCCCATAAATATAGTCTTAATTGAGTTGGACACGAGATTTAATAAATATTGATATTATATTGGTAGTTGGTAAAAAGTACGAATAAAAGACTATTTTGCCTTTGTGAGTGTATTAGTGTAAAAAGTAGTGACAATTGTGTAATAAAAATGAAAAAGTATGGATAATTTTATGATTATATAGTTATTTATGAAAATAAGACTATTGTTTTGGGATGAACAAAAATAGTAAACAAGACTATTGTATTGGGACGAAAAGAGTAGTATATTTTATTAAAATCCGTGTAAAATAAATAATATTAATTTAAATTTAAAATAAAAAATATATATATAACCTTTAAAATAGTCCAAATGCTTCAAATATTATTAGAAAAAAAGAAAAAGAAAAATTGTGTAACCAAGCAAGATTGTATAGATATATTTTTGCACCTTTCCTGTTACTTAAGCTCAAACTCGTATTTTCAATAAAAACAATTAAATAATTACATATTAGATATTGTTAAATAAGAATATCGTATTTCCTTGTAGATTTGAAAGTTGAATTTATAATTTTGAATAATGAAATTTTTTAATTAAAATATTTTTTAATTTTATACAAATAAATATAGATGCAATATTTAATAATAAAATTATTTTTAATTAATATAAAATAAAAAACTAATTATTTAATTTTATATTTTTTGTAGAAAAAAAAATATTTTAATAAAATTGTGTTCTTTTGTCGTTTTTACCGTAGATTTTTACTATTTATATGTTTTTTTCCCTCTAAAAATCATATCAAACAATTTTTTTTTTTAATATTATATTATAAATTTATTTTATATTCAAAACATTATATCAGTATTTATTTATATAACATCAAACAACTACTCAAATTCAACTTTTTATTATTTAAAAATCCAAACCCAAAATCTCAGCCCCACAAACATACCTAAGGGTTTGTTTATTTAACCCCAAATCCCAAACTTTTATTATTTTGACTATGTGTCTCTCACAAAATATTTCATCATACATTATTTTAATATCAAATTTAAATCAAAATTTTTCAAACTATATCAAAAGAAACAAACCCTTATATTTATCCAATCAAAAAATACATGTGAAGTTAAATTCTTTAATAGCCAAAAAGTATTTATAGAAGAGTGACATTTGTGTTTACTTATATTTTAGTATACTCAACTAACTTTATACACAATCGGGTCATTCAGAAAGCGTCAAATTCTTGTAGATCAAGTAAAAAAATCCCTCGCTAGGTTCAATTCTGGGTGGATGCTATGTGTGAGTTTTCTTAACTTTGCTTATTAATTTTGGTATTTTTAAAAATTAAAATAGTTTTTAGTAATAATCTTTTTTTATGAAAGAATAGATCATTGACACATAGAGTTTGAAAGGAAAAAAAAAAAAAAAAACTAAAAACATGAATTTGAAAATATAAAAGAACTGACCTATAATTATATGATTAAAACCAATTAATTGTAATTCAAAATTTTATAATTTTCAAAACTTCTCACTCTAACTCCCAAATTCATGTCCAAAGAGTGTGAGAATATCATAAGACTAGAATAATACAAAGTCATTTAATTAAGACAACCTTGGGATTGATATACTCCCTCCGTCTAGATACCGTGTCTGCTACACTGTAGATATTTTAGGAGAGGTGAAATTAGTAGATAATTAAGAATGTATTAGTGAAAATAATTATTCTATAATATAAATAATTATAAATTAAAATTAAGATAATTAATTAGTTTAATTAAAATTAAAAAAAATTAAAAAATTTAAAATGAGATTAAAGTGTGTAATCATTTTTTTTTAAAAAAAGGAAAATGACACGTGGAACATACAAAAACTACAACGTGGACATGGTAGAAGGAGGGAGTACATTTCTTTCTACCTTGCCCTTTAAAAAAAAATAAAAAATGAACTATCATTTCTTTCTCTGTAGACTAACCAACGAATAGTACGATCCATTTGATCCTTTGGCTAGTAGCGATGAGTGTGTTCCTTTCTCCACCACTTTCCCTTTCTCCATAACTACGATCATGTCGCAATTCTGTATAGTGCTCAGCCTGTGCGCCACCACAATACTTGTCCGGCCGATCATCACCCTCTCCAATGCTTCCTGCACAATTTTCTCTGACTGGCTGTCGAGCGCGCTCGTCGCCTCGTCTAGTAATAAGATTGCCGGATTTTTAAGGATGGCACGAGCAATGGCGATCCTCTGTTTTTGGCCTCCGGACAGCTGCACTCCTCTGACTCCACAGAAAGTGTCGTATCCTTCCTTTAGCCCTGATATGAATTCATGAGCATTTGCAGCTTTGGATGCCTTGATGATCTCGGCTTCATCGATCTCTTCTAATGCTCCGTAAGCTATGTTTTCTCTGATTGTGCCGGCGAAAAGCGTCGGCTCTTGGCTGACTAGTGCAATGTGCTTCCTTAAAGCCCTCAAGTTATATGTCTTGATGTTCTGTCCATCGATTCTAACCTCTCCTCGAAGAGGATCATAGAAACGTTCGATTAAGCCTATAATGGTTGATTTTCCGGATCCGCTTTGGCCTACAAGTGCAGTAGATTCCCCTGCCTCAATCACTATGGAAAAATCTTTAAGCACCATTGTATCGGGTCGAGATGGATAAGCAAATTCGATGTTGCGCAGCTCGACATGGCCTGTTAGCTTAGTTGGCTTCACACCGGTCGCATCTTCTGGCTCAATCAACGAACACCGGTCTATGATAGAAAAAATAGATCTAACTGAATCAACACCTTTGTTTAAATCATTGGTCATGGTTCCAGCCTGGGCTATGACATTTCCCGTGCTTACAAGGATCATGAATGTCTGAAACAGCGCCTCCGCTCCAATGGTGCCTTTTGCTATCAATTTGCCACCATACCAAAAATCTAAGGCCAATGTTAGCATCGTAAGACTCTCGGAAGTCCCGAGTCCAATTCCTGTGTACCATGACTGTCGTATGCTCTCCTTTCGCGGCCATTCTTGGGCTTTCTCGAGCATTCTGAGTATCCGAGTTTGAGAAGAGAAAGCTGTGACAGTCCGGAGATTGGAGACTGCTTCCGCTGCAAGTTTGCTACTTTCATCTTGAGCTTTCATGGACTTTTGCAACATTTTCTTTAGAAGAACACCTCTACAATAAAAGCATGCAATGATCAATGGCTGTGTGGAAATGATTACTAAAGCAAGCTTCCATGCGATGGCAAGTCCCATTGTGCACGCGATGATTATTGCAGAAAAGGTTTGGACAAGCAGAGACATCCGATCGCCTACCAGAGACCTCACCTGCAATATATCGATAATATGGTTATGTTCAATACCTTTTTTCCATACAAAGCTACATATGCAAAAGTAGAACAAGGGTAGTGAATTTACCACGCCGGCATCTTTTGCTAGTCTAGAGCATATAGCGCCGGTTGCATTCTCATCTTTATCGAACCACCCGATTTCAAATGTGAGCATTTTGGACAACATTCTTTCTCTTATTCTCCTTGTCAAGTGTTCCCCCATTGCCGCAAAGTAATAATGCTGACCGACGTTGATCAAAATAGATGCTACTGCCAGCGCGAGAAAGCATAATGCGTATATCCTCGTCTTCTCTTTTATTTCGTCGTGATTTGGTAGGAAATAAACAGATATCATCGATCCCATGGCGAAGGAATACAAGGGCTGTACAGCACCGAATAATACTGCGTTAATGCATCCTAATGTAGCTTGCTTCCACTCCGGCAAATTCATGGCTAATAGTCTTCTCATCGAAGGCGTCGGAAATACTTGATCATAAGCCGCAACTATAGTTTTGTCTTCTCCATGGTTTTCTGTATCGAAATTGGCGGATATCTGTCTGCTACTCGTGGTTTGAATGTCATTGATCATGATGGACGAAGAAGGTACGACGCTATTATGACTAGTATAATACTCTTCGGTTTTCTCGGAATATTGTAAGCGAACAAGCTTTCTGTAATGGCCGGTGTTGTTCTCGATTAGCTCATCATGCGAACCGATCTCCACGATCTCGCCATTTTGGATCACGGCGATGAGGTCAGCATTGCGGATGGTGGAAAGACGATGAGCTATAATGATGGTGGTCCGACCAACTGCTGCCTTGTCGAGAGCCTTTTGGACTAATCGCTCTGATTCTGAGTCGAGAGCACTGGTGGCCTCGTCGAGTAGAAGGATTTTAGGAGCTTTAATTATGGCTCTAGCTATGGCGATCCTCTGTTTCTGCCCACCGGACATCTGTACTCCTCTCTCGCCAACCTGCACACCGATGTGATTAACCATGGTTAAAAATTAACCAAGGTTGAGGTTATCTGCTACGTCTACTTACATGCTAAAGAGTTATTACCTGAGTGTCATAACCTTGAGGCAATAGACTGATGAAGTTATGAGCATTGGAAGCTTTCGAAGCTTCGATGACATCGTCCATCGATGCATCTTCCTTACCGAAAAGTATGTTCTCTTTGATTGAGGTAGCGAAGAGGGCGGGTTCTTGACTCACCAACCCCATCTGTGATCTTAGCCACTTAAGCTGTAAATTTTTTATGTCGACGCCGTCAAGGAGAATCTCGCCTCCAAGAGGATCATAGAATCTCTGTAATAAAGAAACAATTGTCGACTTCCCCGATCCACTTCCTCCAACCAATGCTACAGTCTTTCCTGCTGGGATTTTTAGATTGAAGTCTTCGAAGATTTTGCTTTCGGGCCTCGATGGGTATGCAAATTTGACATGTCTGAACTCGACTTGTCCGGATACAGTTTGTAGTATCTGGCCATCGATGCTGTCCGAATCAATCTTAGGGACTCTTAGCATGACCTTCTTTATGTGTTCTGCAGCTGCTTTCGCCTCGGAGAAATATCTTAGAGTTGGTAAAGCTGGGCCAAGCATGCTGTTCAATCAAGACAACAAAAGTGTATTCGATGTAATATTTTAAATGAAAAATGTATTCCGAGCATAAAGATGTAGCTGCTGCGAACAAACTAGGAAGATAAGTAATGTCCTTACAGTCCACCAATACTCATCGTTAATGCAACAGTGTAGACAGTGCCTCCTTCAGCGCCATGGTACATAACCATTCGACTGCCGTAATAAGACATGAAAGACCAAATTGCAAAGGTAATCCCATTACTACCAACGGCCAAGCCTTTGGCTAAGCCTTGTCTCAGCCCCAATTTCATTGCCCCCTTAAGAGAATTAGAGTATGCATCGATGATCATGCTCTCGCAGACAAATGAATAAACCGTTCGGACCGAAGAAACTGCTTGTTCGACTATTACACCAGCTTTGTTATACTCATCGTTGATTTTTCTTGCAATGCTCATTAAGACCTTCCCATACATCAAACCTGGTATTAGAAGAAATACGATAAATGGGAGCCCCACAATTGCTAGTCTCCACAACAATGTGAATCCGACCACATAGTATGCCATGAATGAGGAAATACTCGACACGAAAACTGGAATCTGTAGGTTCATGCGTGTCAAGAAACAAGAATGTTCTCAAGCTCCGTTTGTAATAATAATTGAAAAAGTATACTTGATAATCCATGATTGTATGCATTACCTTTTCGCTAATGGTTTCTTGGATAAGTAGACTATCTGTGGAGACACTTTTGATGACCTCTGAAGTGCTGTTTACATTCAGATCGAAGTAGCCGATATCTTGTCTCATTACAGCTTTCAGATATGTTGCTCGTAGCCTTGAAGCTTGTCTCTCTGCTGTTCTGGAGAAACAATATCCCCCTGAAGAAAGAAGTCATTATTATTCGTAGTTATTACACTATGTTTGTTCCTAAACTACTTCTCCGAATATGACTTTCATAGTTCACTACGAGAAAATATCATTTTGTAACAAGATTTTTTCGTCATTAAATTCACTTTTTCCGTTACTAATGATATTAGAGACGGAATTAATGATGAAATTACGTTAGCTACGTGATCTCTAGTGACGGAATTCCGTTACAAATATACTATTTTTTTTTGCAGTGGTTGGACATGACTTTTTCGATAGTACTTCATTGCTAAAAAATATTGCTCTATTGATTACTTTCTATGTTCACTTAAAAAATAAATATTTATTTTTTGTACGGAATTTAATAAAATATTAATATATTTTAACAATAGTTAGTGATGATTTTGGTATGTAAAAGTTCAAGAGAAAATTGCAAAAACATTACATATCGCATATTTCATTATCACTTTTATCCTGGTAAAATATGTCATAGGTTTACAAAACTAGTTATTTATATCATTTATTAATAGAAGTTTATTTTAGAAATTTCATGTTGCATTTGGAAGCCTATTAAGAAGCTAAAGCCAAGTGATATTTTAGGTTCTATATTGGCATGAACTCTCTTATATCTTACTTTCTACATCTCTCTCTCTCTATATATATATATATAGATAATTACAAAAAATATTCCCCGCTTATACCCTATTATCATTTTTGTCCTATATTTACCTCGCTGACAAAATATATTTCGTTGTTATTTATGTCTTTTGCCCGCGCGTGACATTCACACCACGCGCCCTTACGTGCGATCACGCGTCGCCAAAGGATAGAAATAACGATTTTTGCAAATATGTGAGATATATTTTGCCAACGAGATAAATACAGAATAAAATTGATAATGGGATATATATATGGGATATTTTTTACAATTTTTCCTATATATTTAATGTAATTTTTTGATTATATTTCAAGAGTACCTAATAAAATTCTTGATTATATAATGTTATCTTTCTTCAATTTTATTTTATTATTATTATTATTAGGGTAAATTATTTTTTTTAATCTCGTATCTGACTCCCTTTATTATTTTAGGATATTAAGTGAATCCTATCTAAATATAGTCATATTTCGTAAATAAATTTTTGTTATTAAAATGGTCATTCGGTGCCGGACTCACCACGCTGGCAACCGCTGTGTTGACATAGCGCTGACGCAGCTAACATGTCATCGCCACGTAGATGCCACGTCGGAGGACTATTTTAGCGAAAAAAAAATTTACTTGCAGGAGTATTTTAAAATATAGTCTACTTAAATATCCTAAAAATAATAAAGGAGGTCATATACGAGACTAAAAAAATAATTTGCCAAGATATTTTGTAATTTTTTTTTAAAAAAATTCCACTTGTCGCCAGCGTCGCATCTACGTGGCGATGACATGTCAGCCGCATCAGCACCACGTCAGCAACGGCGGGCCAGCGTGGCAAGTCCGACACCAGAATACCATTTTAGCGAAAATTTTTTACTTACGAGACTATTTTCAGACAGAGTTCACTTAGAATCCTAAAATGATAAAATGTGTCAGATACGACTATAAAAACAGTTTACCCTTATTATTATTATTATTATTATTGTGTTTTACCAATAACTTTACGGTCAAAATCTATCATCACGCCACCTTATAAATATATTTTATGCATTTTTATTAAAATATAAAAAAATGTTATATAATTTACTCGTATTTATATATAAAGTAATAAAGGAAGATGTGTATAAATGAATATATATATATATATACTACAGAAATTTTAAATTTGTCAAGATAAAAATAATACTAGTATAAATTTATAAAGAATCAGTACTTACCAAGAAAGCCACACACAAATTGTCCGCAAGCAATGTAGCACATTATTAGTGCATTCTGAAATTCACAAAAAGGAAAAAGCAAATAAATTTATGATTACCAATATATTTCCGGCCGTAATAAAATATTTTCTTTCCTGTTCTTTGAATTTAGGGAAAATTAACTTACTCATTTATTATTTTAGTCTCGTAATTGAAGTTTATATAGAAATTATTTCGTAAATAAATTTGTTTTGACACCATTGGTCTTCCGCCCTGAAGATGTGTACGTGACACTTGTCTGGTATGCCAAAGCAATCATGTCCAAATTTTTCACGTGTTTGCCGAGTGGCGCCTACGTGGCAGTCACTGTGCTCCAGCATGCTAAATGAGTGTCACATGCGCATCTTTGGTGTCGAAAGACTAATTGTACTAAAAGAACTATTTACGAGATGTTTCTATACAAGCTTTAATTTTAAGTTGCAAGAATAAAATGATAATTTACCAAGAACACAAGCTAAACTTTTTTATTTACATGCATTAAGATCAACTCGGAGAACATTTTAAAGAAGGTTAAGGAAATAAAACCCAAATGAAAATGAAAAAATTGGTTTGAATAGATATATTTTTTTTTACGTAGATTATAAGAAATTATATAAATAATGAATGTGTGTAATATATTAATTTTTTAGAAAAAAATATATTTTCACAAAAAAAACACACCATACAAATGAACGTTAGTTTAGGTACTGAGTAGATCAAATAAACACTATACTGATTTGACTCAGTCAATATAATCAAAATAGATGACGTATGTTATATGTTTTTTATGCTGAAAATTAATAATATATTGTATTGCATATGGTATTTCATGTACCATTGGAATATTTGTTGTATATTGTATTATTATGTAGCGTCATTTATGCGATATCTGTCTTGTATATAGGTACTGGGTCAAATTAGTACCATATTGATTTGATCATGTAGCATTTAAACTCAAGCGTTACAAATTATGTGTAATATGTGTATTTTATGTCACATTTTATATTTTTTTCATATATAATAAATTCATATTCTCAACCGTTACAAATTATATGTGTAATGTATGTGTATTTTATGTCACATTTTATATTTTTCCATATATAATAAATTCATATTCAACAATTATATTACCCTACAAAAATATTTTATATTTTTTCATATATAATAAATTCATATTCAACAATTATATTACCCTACAAAAATATTAATATAATACCCTGTCCCTTCTGTGTATACTATTTTAATATTTTTGTTTGTCTTACACAAATGTATTTCTATATTATTGTAAAAATATTTTTACATTAATACTAAAAGAGCATCATTGTTATATAAATTATGAAAAAAATATTATATATATAGTAAAATGATAAAAATATCAAAATTTTCCAGCACACAATTACAAATTGTTCCGTAAAGGACAGTCTGGTAGTGTGGGGGTTAGAAACATCTGACACCGCAGGTCACCAAATTGATAGTTAAAATAGTGTAAAGTCAATTTTGTCCTTGCTTTTTTGATAAAAAAATAATTATATAATAATAAAATAAAATATTTATGTAAAATAGTGAAATTATAATTATTAAAAAGAAAATGTACACGTTAACGTAAGGCGGACGTTAAGGCCGGACAAAAGGAATATTATTAATCACTCTATTATAATAATAATAATAATAATAATAATAATAATAATAATCCCTATGTTCCTAAAGAATAATCATATTTACTTTTTGTAAATAATTTTTTTAATACTTGTATTAGATTGGTTTATAATAGAAAAAATTAAAGAAAAATATCTATTAGTATTGTGTAATATAAAAATAATTATATTTAAATAATATATTGTAAATTATAAAAATATTTATTATGTTAGATAGTTATTACAATTACCAAATTTAAAAACTATATTCTTATATAGAACTGACATAAATAAAAAATGACACTCTTTTACGGGATTAGGGGTAATAGAAGTGTATTTGTGTTTTGGATCAATGTATTTTTTACAATAAATATAAAAATTTGTATCACTAATATAAAAAATAATATTTTATATTAAAATATTGATTTTCTTTTATGTAAAGTATATGTATTATATATATATATTGTATATTTTATCATTTCTATAGGCAATCGTATCACCCAAATATAGATTGGATGAACAAACCCGACCATCTTCTTCCCGGAATATAATAAATTAAAACAGTGAAGAACCAGACAGACGACGAAGAAGAATAATTCATCATATACAAATTAAATATGTCTACAGAGAGGAATTAATTAATGAACCAACCTTATTGATAGCGTGAGTGAAATTGTCAGCCGCCATTGAAGAAGAACTCTGAGACTGCAGATCAGCTGAGTTTCCGATTGTGTTCATCAGCTTGCTCATGACGAACATACTCACAGGCATTGCTATCCCATCGCAGAAGGCACCCAGAAACCCTAACCCCATCAGCACCATATCCACCCAATCCCCATGCATAAACATACCCATCCCCCCACCCCCACCCCCACCCCTCCTCTTCATTTTTTCCTCCATACCTAAAAGCTACTACTTCTTCTTCTACTTCCCTCTTGCCTTAGGGTTTGGGAAACACAAATTTTATATATGTAGAGAGAGAGAATTAAGGCTGTCTTACTAAAGGAGAGAAGGGGAATTACTAAACAATAATGCTATTTATTTATACACTTTCTATTACTATATTCGTCAAAAAAAAAATTATTTTTTATTTTTACTTTGATTTTTAATTTATAGCACATATATCTTTGTTAATGATTTGTTTAGGGTTTAACAATTTTTTTTTAGGGATGTGTAGCTTTGATTTCTTTTACTTTTTTTTTATGTTGAGAAATTATTTTATTAATTATATTTGTAAGGATAAATGTGAAAATTTTGTAAAAAAAAAAAAAAAGATTTGGGCAGATAGTATATATAAAAGACAATTACTATTTTATTTTTCTGTAATTATTTTATAAACAAATGTAAAAAAAAAAAAAAAGGCTTCATATATATATATATATATATTTGCATATAAAACTATATATCATGTACATTAATTTAAGATGAAATTATATTTGCTTTTGCATGGGACGTGAGGCTTTGTTCAATTAACCTATTTTTGAATGTCACAATTTTCTTTTAATTTTGAAGTATTAAAGATTACAATATATACATTTTAACACAATTATATACTAATATATATTTTATTCACTCATAAAAAAAATTAACAATTCAATACAAAATATTATTTTTTATATTATCGACACGATTCCTTATACCTAACATAAAATATATATATATATTAATTAAAAAAACACAAAGTGGACACACATACTTTTCTTTTTGTAAATTTAATACTATTAAGAAAAATATCTCATAAAAAATGCATATTTTTAAAAAAAAACATTTAAAAAAACCTATTTTGTTTGCATATGCCTTTCGAAATTGGGTTTTAGAAAACTTTAAAAATAATAATGGTAATAATAAAATTAAATATTTTATATGATAATTTTATGAGATAAAATATATATTTGATATAATATATATATATTTTTTCAATATTTTTAATAAATAATATCAAAATTTTCATAATGTATATATAAACAGTCGATACCAAAGGACAACAAAAAACTAAATTAATTAATGTAGATTTCGTTGGATTTTGGTGTTTATATATAAATCACATGATGAAAGATGATATGGATTAATAAATTATTGTGGAGATTTTGATTTGATACTGATAAAATATTCTAATTAATTCAATAACTAATCGAACTCATCGTGACAATCATCGTGCTCACAATCATTTTAGTAAATGATTAATTAATTTATTATAGTTTCAACTCTCCCCTTATTTAAATAATAAGTACCTATTATTATAAGAAAGCCTTGCTGTACTTAGTTGTCATTATTATTATTGTTCTTATTATTATTATTATTATTGGTGATGTTGTTAAGTTGTTCTTGTTGTTTATGATGCTATGAAACTTCGATTCTGATTTTAAATTTTTCGTCCGAAAGGATCGGTAAAATCTCTGACAACTCGTTGTAAATTGCTAATCATATATGGAAATTTTTAGAAAAAAATCACTCAAATCAATAGACCTGTCAAAACGGTTAGTGGGGCGGATTGACCCACAATCCACCTTAACCCACAAATAATCAGCTTGTTTGCGGGCCGACCCACGACGGGGCGGATCAAAATTTCATCAGTCCTACACAACCTACCGGCGGGTGGCGAGCTAAGCGGGCTAGCCTACGGACTTTTTAAAAATATTAAAAGAATATTAATATTATAAATATTTTCGTAATTAATATTTAAAAATAGCTAAAAATAGTTTTATTGTAAAATTTAAATAATAAATATTATAAAATAAATAAAAAATATAAAAATTCTCAATTCTAAATATTATTAATGGGTGTATTTAAAAAAATTAATAATAAGAAATATTTCATTTTAAAAATAAATCATAATTAATTTTATGAATTTGTAAAATTATAAAATAATAAAATGGAAGACGAACAAAACAAATGATGAAAAATCGAAACGAATAACAATGTCATGAATAACATATTTAGAGAAGAGAAACAACGTGTAGACAATATTGATAATTTACTTAAGCTAATGATAATATAAATTTTATTTTATTTGTCTTAACTTATTTATAATGATATGTTTGTAATTTATAAAAAATTATAATATATTCTTATATTAATATTTGATTAACTTTATTATAATTTTTTAATATAATAATAAAAAATGATAAAAAAATAATTTAGTTAAACGAGTGAGTACTAATTATTATATTTACTTGACCTGTGAGCTAACCTGCCCCACTGTGGGCTAACCCACCCTCAACCCGCAGCACATACGGGTTGGCCCATTTAGGCCCGCATTTTAGCGGGCTTAAAAAATTTCAATCCAACTATCCTTAAAAGTAAGGTGGGGCGGGCCAATCCGACGGGCTCAACCCATTTTGACGGCTCTACACATCAATGATGAAAATAAGTTGCAATGGACTAAAATTATCAAATTACATTATTTTGAAACTACATATAAAAAAAGTAAGAAAAAAAATAATGCGACAAAATAAAAAGAAAAATAAGAAAAAAATTTCTCATATTTGATTTCATTGTTAGTTCAATTTATTAAGTAATATATTTTATTCACCCATAAAAAATAAATAATTCATATAATATATTGTATTATTTTTTTCGTTTGGTCACATATGACATTTTTTCTTTTGTGCGTTTGATAAAAAAAAAAATAATTAATTTTTATTTTTATTTTGAGTAAATTTTTTTTTCTTAAAAAAAGTTAACAAATATTGAATCAATTTAATTAAATTTCTAAACTCTTACAGGTACAACATACTTAAAATCTCATTATTTTTATTTATATCTTCAATAAATAAATATTTTTTTTATATTAAAAAAATTTCATTTTTTATACTTAGTTTTAAGTTAATTATAAATAAGTAAATATATATTTTTTATTTATTTATAATATATAAAATTTTATTATCTACAAAATGGTATTTATATTGTATATATAATCGTAAAAATATTTAAAAATACCAATAATATTATTCATATAAAAAATAATAAAATAATATAATTATTTTTTTTATTAATAACTTATTAATTTATCTTACTTAAAATATCACGTCCCTAACAAAATGAATCATTTGACTTGGGACGGAATGAGTAAATTTTTTTTTTATTTTTTACTTATTTTTTTCATACATAATACTTCATCTGTCCCAAAATAGTCTTATTGGGTTAGATATGAGATTTAAACAATATTGATATTATATGGGTACTTGGTAAAAAATAAGGATAAGTGACTTTTTTGTCTTGTGAGTATATTAGTATAAAAAATAGTGGCAATTGTGTAATAATAATGAAAAAGTAGAGATAATTTTATTGTGATATAGTTATTTATGGGACAAAAATAATAAACAAAACTATTGTACTGGAACATAAAAAAAAAACTCATTTATAAGTATCTTTATTTTCCTCTCCATTTAGTTTGATAATGTTTGTTACACTTTCTTCATCTCTCTACGTACTTGCTACGATTTATTAATAATCTTTTTTAAAGCATGTCAATAAATTTTATTTACTTATTTATTTGTTAAATGATCAATTAATCTATCATTATAACATAATTGATTGACAACTTTCAAGCTACATGAGAATCATCTATTGGGTCGGGCCGATGTATTACTTCCTTGGGCTTCAAATATTTGGGCCGGGCTAGTCATACATGCCTTGGGCTGATTATCATACAAGGTCGGCCTGATTTTCACCAGAATCTCTCTAGGCATAAAAAATAAATAAATAAATAATGCAACTATCTTGAAATATTTATCTTGGAATATATTTATAAATTTATAAATTTGAAATATATATATATATATATCTTGGAATCAAAGCATGAAATTAAAAAATAAACTTGAGAGTAAAAGTAAATTGATTATGTTTAACATAATTTAGAAGAAAATATTAAATTACAAATGTTAAAGATTAATGACTTACCTATTTTAAATTTACTCAATATATTACTCTTAAAAATTGATAATTTTAATATTTAATATTAAAAATTATGTTTAATAAATAATAGTTATTTAATTACTATATAAATTATAATATGAACTTTTATAAATTTAAAATAAATCTTATATATCAACATATAATTTAATGTAAATATAGATAAAATAGATCTTTATTTTCGATGGGCCTTAAACTGATCGTTCAGCCCAAAGTCAGCCCATAGGTTAGCCTGGATACAAACAGTCAATACCAAATTTGGGCCGGACTGTCAATGCCCTCAAACCCAAAAATATATATATATTTTAAATGTAAATATTATAATTTTTGTATATTTATATTCAGTCTATTCATATAGCATTTTTAATAGAACAATTTTTTATAGTATTATTAAAAAAATACAAATATACAAATATTAATATAATATATACATTATATACTTATAAAAAAAAATTAATTATTCAATACAAAATATTATTTTTTTATAAATACTAACACAGTTCATCATACCACACAAAAAATCAATTAATCTATAAAAACGATGAGTGAAGAGTCTCATTGATTAACCCTCTAATCAAGGTTTATTGTCTTATAGTTCTTTATGTTTTATTATTTTAATTAAAAATACTTTATTTGTCCCATAACAAAGTATTCATTTTTTTTCATTTTAGTCCGTCCCATAAAAAGTATCTATTTTCTTTTTTTAGTAACTGTACTATCTACCTAACATTACAAATACCCTTACAATTTACTTATATTACACAAATGTCATTTACCTTTATATCACACGTATTAATAAAGTTATTTTAGTCATTTCTATTTTATTCCTACTATATCTCAATATAATACAAATATTTCTAAAATTACGTAAAAAAAAATAAATGAATGAATATTTAGTTATGGGACAGAGGGAGTATATTATATAAAATATATAG